CCCCCCCAATTAAAAAACAGCAAAAGCAGGCTTACTTCATAAACTTTCTCTCACAGCAGTTTTGGCATAGTTCTTACTGGTCATTATTTCCAGCTTTAAACTTAATTATATTACATTAGGGAATACAGGTATATAAGCAAAATGGTCTGTTGTTTTCAGGGCTCTGATTACATCTATTTTGTTGTTTCGTTTTTGTTTGGTTTGGTTTTGGTGTGGGGTATTGTGTGGTTTTTTTTAATGATTGATATTTTCCTTTGTTTCAGCCAAACCTTTTACATCTAAAGTGAAACAGATGCGACTACATAAAGAAGATTTTGAAATCCTGAAGGTGATTGGTCGAGGAGCCTTTGGGGAGGTATGTATGTGAAGGAGGTGGAAGGAAGGGTTTGAATATGCTCTTGCAAATCTGCAGCACTGAGGAGACACAGTTAATAGTTAATCATATACTGATGTAGGGGTTTTACATCATTTAGGCATAATGGATATTGTAGGCCCATCTAATGTTTGATGCAAGTACATTTTGATTTATACATTCTTTGACAGCTCTTTTTAAGTCTTTTAAATTTTGAGAGAAGGCAAGTTCACATGGATTAAAAGACCATGTTTCAACTGTCTGATGATAAATCATTTGCTTGACTGTAATTCTTTCTAGTCAGCAGGTGGAGGCCAGTGAATTACTGATGGTATAAAGATCTAGCCATTTCTAATCATCCTGATAACGAAATAGTCTGAAAGTAGTTTTCAGCAACTTCAATAGCCAAATATTGATATTGACATTCTAAGAACACAGAGAAATCTCTCTATTCCTGTCACTTTTTTTCCTATATTTAATGAATGTTTGAATATTTTTCCTGTATTTCTTTTAAAGAGTTTAGTAAATGTTAGGGTTTCTTCAGTTGTCACCTACTGCTATCGAACTATACATTTTTTTTGCTGCTTCTGATTAAGCCATCTCTTATTTGAAGTCGTCAAACATGGCTGTTGATCACTATGTTTTACATTAGGCATGTCAGATTATATAGGTTGAGGAAACTTGAATAAATAAACGTTAGCTTTCTGCCCCTTCTTAATTATATTAGGTGCATGTGCTTTGTTCTTCATGCAGGACACTAGGTATGTAGAAAGAGCAACCTAATGTATAACAGTGCCTTGAATTTTTCATAGCCAAATATACTACAGATGGGAATAGTATGTAAAGCTTCTGCAGAAGGTACTCCATACTGCTTGAAAATATATGTGAGCTGAAACCCCAAGTATAAGAAAAAGATTTTTTGAGCAATGTTTTCATTGCTTTTGGAACTGGAAATGTTTTTTTTTCAGTTCTCTTTGGTATGAGAGCATCTCTGAGGCTCTATGGCATGTGACAGAGAAGAGTTGGTTTCAGGTTCACTTACATGTTTGCATCATGTGTGAAAATTAGTCTTTACTAATCTGTGGTTATGGAAGAATAGACTTCTATAGGTAGTATGTAAGGAACAGGAATTTTTACTGTAGTGTTTGTCACTACATACTCTGATGGTGCCTACATGCAAATATCATCATTGGGCAACTGTAAAAATAACAATAAAAGAGTAGTATTTAATTAGCTACTTTATCCAAACTTCTGGTTGGATATCCAACCAACTTTTGGTTAGTTTTGCTCCATCTGGAGTAATTCTTCTTTATAAAGGAGACTGAAGGCTGAAGTTACTCATGGATAATTTATCTTTAGTCTGAACCGTCTGAACCTCTGCCACAAAGAGAATGTTGCATTCTCCGTTTTGATGTAAACGCTTCTGCTTAAAACGTTAGCTTTTCTCAGTGCTGCCATAGTAGTTGCAGCTGAGTTCATGTACAGATTGTATGAGATGTAAGAAAAATCACTGATGTGGGTGCTTTCTTGTCAGAAGAATCATATGTGAAACTGGCCTTACATTGAGTTTTTAAGAGAAGTCATTTTTGTCCGCTAAATCAGCATCAAACTCCACAGCAGCTAAACCACAAAAAAACTAGTTCTTTCTCAGGAAGCTTCTTTGTGGTGAATCATCCCATGAATAGTGAGAGCGTAACTTTCCCCATCCTCTTCTGGGGACAGTCTCTGTAATCGGTTAGTTCTCCTCTTTTAGGAACAGTGTTTCTTTCTAATTTCTTATCTGAGAAAGATAGCATGAGTCTACTTAATTGTCAAAATCTTCAGTAAGGGGAAAACTGAAGTTCTTTCAGTGAAAATGTTTGTGTTTGTATGTTCTTAAAGTAGGACTTACTAAATATTTGCAAGGATATATGTTAAATTTTCTTACTAGCTTAAAGAGAAGTTTCAAGTCCTACACGGACATCTGTCTAAGAAAACAAGTTCTGTATGAAATTGCTAATTTTCCTTTAAAATAACCAGTTAATATCTGAGCAAGGTTGAAAAAAGGACCACCAAATTTTACTGCTACTTAAGCCACCAAAAAGTATATTAATATTAAATTGCAAAATACTTGTATGATTCAGTAGACTACAGTAGTTTACTGAGACAGATTAAGAAATCTTGAAGAATGTATTTTCTTTCCAGCAAACTATAAATGAGACCAAGGTTGCTCTAGGTTACTGGGAGGAGTAATTTTTGTCTCCTGAATCAACATAATTCTGAAATTCTGTAGACTACAAAGTTAGTGCAAGTTTTCTTTGGCACAGTCTCAGACTTGTTCTTATTTTGATTTTACGCTACTCAATTTCTTCAATTTGCATAGTCAAGAAATATTTCCCTTTTTGTTTTTACAAGTTTGATGTAGACAAAAAGTAGTTTAAACTAGTTATTGCTTATAACTGTAAAAGTTCATTGTTCCTGGTTTTCTTTTTCCCCTTACCCTCCTTGCTGCCAGTCTGAGAATGCTTCCTTTTTGTCAAATTAAGGACATGCCCCTTCCCTCTGCATGCATACATTTACTTATTTAAAATTTTATGTGAGAGAGTGCTGTCTTTAGAAAACACAGATATTTTGCTTGGAGGAGGAGGATTATCCTGGTAAAATTAGTAATGTGGGCATCAGGTGTTTCATTGTGCTGGCTTTGGGCAGCATGGTTTGAAAAACTTAACGAACAACTCTAAACAAGAAGACTTTAAACTTGGGAGTTGAAGAATGCTATTAGGAAAGGTGAAGCAACTGGGCAACAGCTCTTAGCAGTGTCTCTCAGCAGTATAAAGCTTATTGAAGGTTCTAGCTAATACGAGAATTTTCAGTTCATTCTGCTATTGCTTAAAAAAAAAAAATTCAGTGCTTGCTTATGCAAGCAAATATTAATGTCATTATGTTGTTGATATTTCAAAGATGATGAATTTTGTGGTTCTGCGAACTAGTTAGTTACTCCTAAATTTTGGCATCCAGTTATGAGCAGTAACATTCTCTCTTTCTGTTTCTGGAGGGCTGCCTACTCTTGACAAGAAAACCAATGCTGAGTCTTTTTTTAAAAAAAAAAAAAAAAAATTCTTCCTTTTTTCTTTTTCTTTTCTTTTTATTTCAATTTTAATAGCTTCTGTTTTAGCTTGTTTCTGTAGAAGGCTGTTGCTTTTTAAGCAAAGGAAGTGTGCAGACATGTACCTTAGAGACAAGTAGCCAAGTTTGGGGCAGAAGGTGTCTGACAGCATGCCAGACTGTACTGCTGTTTGTGGGAAATATGGAAAACTGTTGGAAGGATGGGGGAAAAAAACTATCTGACCTAACCAAGATGTTTACATCAGCACATACCAATCATTTTTTGTTGGTCTACTCACAGGAAAATATAAATTTTAAAAAACCCCAACCTTTAGAAGTCCAATTTTAAGAAATTCCAGTAGGAAGACACTTCAGGACAACTAGACAGGAGTGATTACCCTTTCTTATGTCTTGACAGCTTTGTTGGAGAAGGGAGAAGATCAAAACAGCACTCTGTGTGTATTTAGGCCTTTGTATACATAGTATATACCTCCATGTGTGTATGTAATTCACAGTCCCAAAATAAGCATTTTAGAATTTATTTTCATAAAGCACTGAGACACCCCCCAAAAGATGCTGAGATTGCAGAAAAATGATAATGTTTGTGATCTTTTTTTTTGCGTGTGTGTGGTGGTTATTGATATGGAATAACATTAATGGCTTTCACAGACTAAAAGGCTGCTTTTGACTGATTGTAAACACAGCTGGTAAACATGAGTCTATTTTTGTTCTTTAGTCACTCTTCAATATTGTTACACATTCACAGAAGGTACCAAGCCCTCGATCTTGTCATTGAAGCCCTGCGCTCCAGCTGTTAACTGAAGGCAGTGCTGTAGCTCTTTTGGCTGTGTCAAAGTGAATGTTTTATAGGAGACTACAGATTTAGGCAGCTGTGCGATTAGCGTATGTCTTTCAATAACCCAGTCTTTTGCAGAGTAACACAGCCTTTCACTGAGCATGCTACAGGCAAGAAATGAAATCCTGGAGTTGGACTTGAAATACATGTACTATCTTACGCCTCTGGCTGCCTATACTATGATGGTTAATGGTGGGGAAAAACTTACTTTTCATGCTGGGCAGTAGCAGCAGCAGTCTAGTCAGCTCTAGGACCAATTACAACACTCTCAAAACCCTTAAAGGTCTTTAGGGCAGAATTACATTGTAGCTTCATATCACAGACTGCATCATGCAGAGAGGGTCCCTGTCATCTGAGACATGATACAGTTTGAACGCTGACGAGTTTCAGTGTTAAGGCTTTCTCCTCCTGCCATTTCTCATTAGAAATTGCTACAGATACGGCTTATCAGAGTTTCAAGCTAGCTTTAGCTAGTAAAGTAAAAGGAGACTCAAGATTCAAATCCGCATTGTGGGTTATGTATCACTGCAGAGGATTCATCTTTCCCTCCTAAGGAAAATTGTGATGCTCGGACATGGGGTACCACGCACAGAAGAGTAGATATTCTTTATGAATTAAAATTAGATCACAGTCTAAAGTAACAATCTATTTTTGTGTTTCAAATCTGAAAGTACATTGAGGGATCCCAAGTCTAGACTTGAACCTCAATTTTTATGCATGAAGTAACCTTTAAAAATTTCAGTTCATAAACTAGTTTAAATAAGTAGACGTAGTACCTTTCTGTCTTCTTTCCTTTTTTTATCTCCCTTCCACTCCCACCCCCCCGCAACCCCAGAAGGCAGCAGTGTCAAGAACAGGGCTGATAATGCATTGCTGCACATACGGGAAGTGACCACTGCTTCATCTATGAATCTATAGCTAAGCAAGAGGTACACTTTTAGATATGCTTTAGTTTAGACATCTGAGTATTGCAGTCCTTCAACCTGCGCTTTTGCCATGTTCATGAAGCTGCTGCAACTGATGACACATTTGAAGATGCTTGAAAGAGGTTTGCATGACACTTTCTTCAAACTGTCTGATCCTGTATTTTCTTTTCTGTTATCACTGTCTTCACACATAGCTTGTTTACTGATTATGAAAGAGATGGAAGGAATGTAGGATTCAACCTTAGTGTTTTTTTGTCACTGGCCTGCAGGATGATGATGATAGTCTGTGTGACAGCATGTTGGTTTGTAACCAGATGCACACAAAAATGAACTTTTATCCCTTAAGCCTTAAGATTTATTTGAAAGGGAAGAGGCAGGATGGAATTGTTGGAGAATGGTTGTTGAAATGTATTGATTGTTGAACTTTTCTATAATTGGGATGGTAGTGTAGTGGTCTGGTCTAGTTCTGATCAGCAGCTCTGAGTCTGTGGCAGATCCATGGGCATTTTGGGTAAGACACTTAGCTTTCCATACCCAGGGAAGCCGGAACTGTGAAAACATGTTTGTGTAAACGTCTTCCCTCCCTCTTTCCTAAAAATATTCTATGTTAGCTTTTATTATAGCTAAACAAAACTATAATATTCCCAGAAAAGGACTGTGTCGGTTGGCTTTGTTAATATATTATTACATAGGCCCATGGTATCTAATGTTTCAGAAGCAGTGAGAGGGAAGGGGGCTTGTGTTTCCTAAGTTTTCTTTCTCTAGAAAATGTGGATTTCACTGTTTCCTTGCCACTGACAAGAGACATGATAAAGAGCTCATTGAACTTCAGGTGGAAAAACATGAAGTAAAACTTTACTATATCTTTGAAGAAAGCCTAGTGCATTATTTGAAATGAGAGTGGAAGTTGTTTTATGGCAAACCTACAGTCTAACTTGTGTCTGAAACCTAAAAGATACTGTTTCTTTTGTTTTAGAAACTACTACACTGTTGTCTTTTCTTGGCGGTTCTGTAATTTAAATTACTGTGTAGGACTGAAGTCCAAGAGCATAAAGCATACAGCCGGTGATAGCTTCATGATAGTATGATAGAGCAAGAAGCGTGATGGTGAGAAATACCATTGTTTTTCTACAGTCACCTAGAAGAAATGATACATGATGAAAGTGTGATACATAATGAAAGCTTAAAATAGGCTTGGAACTTTTGTAGAATGAATATCCTGTACTGTGATGTTACTCTTTCTTGATGGCAATGGTATAGTATTGTGTGGATAGTAAAGCTAAGTGTCCAGAACACTGAAGAAAAAACCTCCAAAATTGCAAGGTTTCATAAAAATGAAAACAATATGCGTTTTCATGTTTTAACTTATTTATCTTTCCTTTATCTTTTTCAGGTTGCAGTAGTAAAATTGAAGAATGCAGATAAGGTTTTTGCCATGAAGATACTTAATAAGTGGGAGATGCTGAAGAGAGCTGAAGTAAGATTACAGTGATGTTTTCTATAATCATGCACCCTCTTACTCTGCTGAATTGTTAATTCTCTTCCCATAAGACTCTGTGTGTATAGAGGGATTGAGGACATGCTTCATTACTTACTGACAGTATGAAGATTAATATTAAAATAAGCTTAAAGCAGTTCATCAGAAGGGTTAAAATGGCATGGAATCTTGACTTTAGGTGGGGCTGAATGTTTTAGACATTATACCTTTTCTGTAATTGCCCAAGAGTTATCGACTATACAAGCAGTCTTTTAATGCATTTATTCCAGTTAGGAATGTAGTCTTTAGCAAGTATTTTCCATGGTGAAAGGTAATTACTGAGCTATAACTCACCAAGCTTATTAGTTTATCAGTAGTTAGAACTTAGTCAAGGTCCAATTTGCAGACTGAAAAATCAGAAAGATAAAAGTTTCAAATTAATTGGAGTGCATGTTTCATAACAATGTCCATCTGCAAAAATTTGTGATGAAAAGTTCCTCGTTAAAGCTTGAGTCCATTCTGTGTTCTGAAAAGGTGGAACAACTTTTTCACCAGCCCTGCTTTGCCATGGGTTCCTACTTTCATTATACAACTCCACTCTTCATAGAATCCTCGATACATTTCCCTGGATTCCTTTGGAAAGAAACTTATAAAATGCAGTCTTCACCTGAAGACTTGTGTATTAATTTTAAGCAGAACATGTATCTAACTTTTAAAATTGCTTTGAAATTCTTCATCTATGCATACTAAAAATAAACTGCCTAAAAAATAGACTCATAAAGGTATAACTCAGTGTTTTACACGTAGAAAGTTGCTTTGGCCATTGGGTTTTCTTTAGTTTGGACAGTGCAAGCACTATCTTGGTGTCTCTTCCAACTTGTCTGATTGAATTCTCTCTAACCTCAGTTTTTATCTGAGACTCCTCTTTGCTACTCTCAGATTGCCTTGCTGTTCAATTGCTTCCAAGTTTATTCTGATTTCCGCATTTGTGTTTTAATTATATCTTGTTAGGAAATGAGATCAATGGGAAACCATCACACTTTTTAAAAATAAAAGTTTCCAGATGAATTAAAGCCAATTTCTGATCTGTGCACATCCTGTCTCTTTTAATGAAAAAGTTATCACATTAAGAAGTATAAATGGCATGCAGATTGTGGTTAGGCGTACACAATGTGTTTTCTCCTTATCCAGAAATTATTCAGATACTGAGCAATCTGGCATTAGTCTCGATACAAAGAGGTATTTCTCTCCAAGACAGATGTCATTACTGTAAGTTTTATTATTTCAGTGAAAAAGAAAAGAACAGAAATAAAGTTCCACTCTATTTTTAAATGTACCCTTTTAAAGTCAGTTTAAAAGCTATTTCTTTCCATTAAAATACAGTTATAAATAGGTTTGAAAGATTTTTCTCTATGCAAGGTATTAAAAATACTCTTCCCATGGGTCCCGCTGAATTTCTGAAAGTCTGAACCGTTAGCCTAAAAAGAATTACAGCTATGTTTTTCCATGTATTTGTAACCCATGGGTATACAGTGGAAAGAGAACCATCTGGAGTGAAAATGCATTACAAAGCATGACCTTCAACAACTGTAACCTGTCGTTTTTATTGATGAACGCATCTCACTTGCTACTACTGCTAGGGAAAATGACCCATTTTGGCTCTGTTAGCCATGCGCTGCACTAATACTGAAATACACAGGAAAATCATACAGTCCAAAAATGCGAGACAAGCATATAGGTAGGTGGATACATAAATGGCAGAAATAAGTTGTTCCTGTATCCTTGTATCAATTCTGCGGGGAGTGGTATTCATTTGTAAAAGCAGGAAGGGAGTATGTACTCAAAGAGGCTTGCGACTGCCAGATTAAGGTTGATGACTGCAAGCTCTGAGAGTAATTGTATGCAAAAACTTTGTTACAATGAAATTATACAGGTTGCAAGGTCAGTGTTCTCTTTTGTATTACAAAGAGCATAAGTTTTCCAAATACTTGCCACTGTTGAAAACTCAGAGATGTGATATAGAACTGGGGACAGTACTGATAGGAGGAGCACCTGAAAGTGTGTGACAGCTTGCTGTTACACTCCCAGACCTGTTACTGTGAGTGTTGACAATCACTTACAGTTACGTGTGTGCTATGGTGGTGCCAGATGAGGCTCAGGAGAGACCAGGACAAATATTATACGGCATGGAAGCAGTCAGCACTCACAGAAGGTGCTAACTCCGAGCTGTGAGGACATGAGCACCAAATAGCTGAGCAGCCTGAATTCTTTGCTGGTTGAAGGCCATGATAACAGTATAGATATAACCAAAGCACTAAGCTGGCTTTGTTGTGACAGAGAGTTGGAGTAGATGACCTCTAGAGGTCTCTGCCAACAATTCAAGGAGACTATGCCTCGGGAAGATGAAGTGTAATGTTGAAAAGGCTTCATTTAAAAAAACTTAATTGAGCTATGTTTCAGTAATTACAAGAACCACTGCTACTGCTACCTTTTTTTTTTTTTTTTTTTTTTTTTTTTTTGCCATGAATTAATGTAAACCCCGTAAGCCACTTAGACTCTTTGGCTCTTACTGTCTCAGCTATGATCTACTGTGGTAATAGTTGTTGCTGTCAGCTCTAGGCATACTGCCCAGAGGTGGGTGTCTAGAGTACTCAAGGAACGCATGGTCTTTTGTTAAATCATGGCAAAAACAAGTGGAATTATATAAACTCTCTGTAGTAACTAATCCTGTGAATTATGTCTTAACAAATAGAGAAACTACGTATCATTTATCCTTGTGAAAACAAGACTTCATAGTATCTCTCTCTGAAATGTGTCAACAGTTTACAAACAAGGAAGGAAGAAAATCAAGCTGAAGCATAGAACAGCTTTTCTTCAGTCTGAAGATCATCTTTTCTCCTTCTCCCACCCTCATGTCCATTTTTCATTTAGTAACCTTTGAGGGTATTTGTTTAAAGTATGTTTTGTTATTTTCTCAAATTTCACTGATTTATCTCATGCATTGTGCTATGATTAAAGTATACCATGTTTCTTTTTCCTGGTCTGCATTATTCTTACTCACTGTATTCACCAAAACAAGACTTGGTATGGTTTATTTGCTTGGAGGAGTTATTTTCTGCTGTGTTTTTACTGCATGTATTCTTGTGCATAGCTCAATCCAAAATGATATTTTGCTTTTCATTCTTCACTCTCCAAATCTTACAGCCAACAATAACCATGTCAGAGTTCTGGTATTTGCCTATTGTTTTTGGAAATGAAATTGGAAAAGTAAAAAGAAAAGGCTTGATTTTCCTTTAAATTTAGCTGTTTCCTAAGATGGAAGAGACAGAGCATGGTTCAAATCGATGAAACATCTTTGTGAAGTAGCAGAGTGTACTGGAAGAGGTCATGGTCTATGTTTTTCTCTAACTCTCCATCTGCCTTCTAAATAGAGCCCATAAAATTATTACTCTTTCTTTTACACTATCCTTTAGACATTTTTCTGAACAAAATTGTATGTTGGCTTTGCTATTTAGTACCTTTTGTTTTCTTGTGATACTCACTTCAGAACTCAGCCCCTTCAAAATGTTTATTGTATTTCTTTGCTATAGTTTCTTTTTGGTTTCTCATCTGTTTGGTCATTTTCCTCTGTCATTCTGCAAAGCTGCTTTTGCTGAGGTGTTTTATTCACTTCTTGGGGCAGGTTACAAGACCTCCATTGAATTAAGTGCCTTGCTGCCTTCCAGTTCGTTATTTTCTTCACATTTTATCTTCTGTTGTTTCATACGAACCTGTGTTCTCCTTCTCTTAGGTATTCCTTAGCATTTCTTGGCAGTTCTTGTTCTTCCTCTGTTCTACTTGCTATGAAGGCACCTTTTGCCTCCTGTATTTCTTTCCAGTATATTGAGGGGAGGTCCTCCTGGATGTCTTATCAATAGCTTATATCTGGCAAGAGCAATATTCAATTCTGTCCTAATTTCCTGAGCAAAAAGTGTGGTGAAAACCCCAACTGGTTAATGATTATCAAGTTATGGCTACATGGGACTTATTGGCAGCAACTTTCAAATGACAAGAACCTTGCTTATGTGAAAATTCAAGTGTAAAACTAGCCTAACAGCATGATGAGATAAAACAATGACACAAGACTCCAGATTCTAGTTCTTTAACTCCTATTGTAGTTACATAATGCCATTATTGTTTGTTTTCTTCAGTCTTATATTGCTATTCTGTCATTATTGATACTTGATTTCAACATCTGTATGTACAAAAAGATAAGATTTTGACTTGGGATTTCGAGACAATGGGAAGCAGCAGCTTATTTCTCTCTTTGCATCACTTAACAATATAGGGAAGTACAGCTGTTTAAATTTACAGAATGTGGACTTTTCTGATACCTAGTTTTTCATAGATTTTGGCACGTTTGGAGAGTGTAGTAAATGACTTTTTAACTGAGAGGCAGTTTTGAATTTTTTTCCCCAAAATATAATGTTAAAACATAGTCAACTTGCAAAATGTGTTTCTTTATATAATTTACTTAAAGCCTGTAATTATTTTTCTCTCCTTCAGACAGCATGTTTCCGAGAAGAGAGAGACGTGTTAGTGAATGGAGATAACCAGTGGATCACAACATTACATTATGCATTCCAGGATGAAAACTATTTAGTAAGTGTTGCTTTTATGGTGTGGTTTGAGACAGTTTGTTTATTTGTTAATTTTGTGTTCTGGACTGTACAGACCATGTGAGGATATGTGATTTTGTGCATAAGATTCTGAAGGGTGGAGAGTGGTCAGAAACTTTTCAAGTTTTGCCCTAAGTATCTCAGGAAAGCAGCTTTGTTTTCTAAACCACTTTGCGTTTGTTGATAAACCTTGGTCTGTCTGTATCTTCTTTCTTATAATTCGTCACTCCAGTTTAATTGGATTTATAAAAGTAAAAGTGCATTTAGTAATACAAATTTTCTGTTTGACTTTAATGTTTGTGATTAACATTGCTGGTTACTGTTTTACAGTTGGAAATAGGGATTAGCCCCGTTTTGAAAAAGAGTTCATTTTGATTGGTCTTTGCCTTTTTGAGGACTTAAACCCACTAAGATGTCATAAAGCAATAAAATGTTCTTGCAGCATGGAAGAATGGCACTAACTGTTCATAAATAAGAGTTGGAAGCTGTAATTGTAGATTAAAGTGTCTCTTTAATATTTAATGTTATTCAGTTTTTAAGTATTTTGAAAGACTTGCAGAAAGAAGCTAGTATGAGGAAAAAGTGCCAATTTTCTGTGAAATCTTTCCCACTTAAAATATGTTTTGATTGTGATACAGTTTTGGTAATATTTATGTCTGAAAAAGTAAACAACTACATTGATAGATTTTGCTTATTTGTGTTTTATTGCCCTGTGCTTTGGTTTCTGTATCATTAGTAAATTGTAATGTTTTTTTTAAAAATCTGATATGCAGTCATAATCTTTTTTGCCCCCAATGTGTCCAATAAAAGAATGCTATGGATTCTTTTATTCATGGTTTTCTTGCAGAATTGCAATGCTTTTTGCCATTATATTGCTTTCTGTTCTGTCAGCTCAGATACTTGGACATCCATGGATTTTGGTGGAGTTTATATAGAAACAGGGCTCTGCATTTGTGAATCTAACTGTTGGCTTAAATACGTCCCAGCCAGCTTCATGCTTTGTTAATGTGGACAGTAAAAATAATCTCATGTTTTATGTAATTCTGATCTTACTATTAACAGTATTTCAAAGAAAATATTATATATTCCGCAACAGCCTGCTAGAATTTGTTTTAATCTTGCCAGTTTCCTTATTTTCACTAAGCACGTAGCAGCTTCTGTTCTTTATCTTTGGTAGTCTGCTAACAGGAGCTAGTTTTGCTGGGGAAAATATCAGTAATACTGTTTTTCATCATTTTGGTGTGAAAGTATCACTAGTTCTCTATATGCTTTTTATTAAAATAAAATATAACAGAAGTGGCCTTTAAAAAAAAATCTGTGCAAATTGAACAGTGGATGTTGTTTAGCTTGACTTTAGTAATGCCTTTGACACGGTCTGCCGTAACATCATCATAGACAAGCTGACAAAGTATGCATTAAATAAACAACAGTGAGGTGGGTTGAAAACTGGCTGAACTAACTGGGACAAGGGGGTTTTTGATCAGTGACACAAAGTCTAGCCGGGGGCCAGTCAATGGTGGTGTACCCCAGGGCTCAATATTGGGGCTGACATCTTCATTAATGACCTGGAGAATGGGATGGAGTGCACCCTCAGCAAGTTCACAGATGATAAAAAACAGGGAGAAGTGCCTGATAAGCCAGATGGCTGTGCCATCATTCAGATGGACCTCGACAGACTGGAGAACTGGGCAGAGAGAAATCTCATGAAGTTCAATAAAGGGAAATCCAATGTCCTGCATCTGGGGTGGAATAAAATAAACCCAGTACATGCTGGGGGCCAACTGGGTGGAACGCAGCTTTGCTTGAGGTCCCGGTGGATAACAAGCTGACCATAAGCCAGCAATGCACCCTTGCAGCAAAAAAGGCCAAGAGTATTCTGGGCTGCAAGAAAAAGTGTTTCCAGCAGGCCAGTGGAGGTCCTTCCTCTCTGCTCAGCCCTAGTGCAGCTGCATTTGAAGTATTGTGTCCAGCCCTGGGGTCCCCAGTGCAAAAGAGAGATGGAGCTACTGGAGCAAGTCCAGTGCAAGGCCAGAAAGATGATTAAGGTACTGGAGCATCTTTCACGTAAGGAGAGACTGAGAGAGCCGGGATTCTTCAGCTCAGATAAGTGAAGGGTTGGGGGGGCTATTGCCAATGTGTAGAATGAATGAAGACAAGGGAGCCAGATTCCTCTCAGTAGTGCTTGGTGACAGGACAGGAGACAATGGACACAAACTGAAACACATGGAATTTCATCTGAACACAAGAAAACACTTTTTTACTGTGAGGGTGGTCAAACACTGGAACACGTTACCTGGGGAGTTGTGGAGTCTCCATCCTTAGAGATACTGAAAACCCAACTGGGGACAGTCCTCATCAGCCTGCTCTAGCTGACCCTACTTGAGCAGATGAGGTTGGAGTAGATGATCTCAAGAAGTTTCTTCCAGCCTAAATCAGTGTGTCATTTAGGATTAAATGCCCATGTTAAACTTCCACTAGTTACTAGAATTTAATGTCCTTAAATCTGTGATTTTTGTTTCTCTTGGAAGGATGGTGCTGTCGTACAGTAGTATTTTGAGAAGTACTTGAGACTTGAATAGGTCTGGATGATTGTGTGCATTTAGAAAGTATTTTTAAAGCTTTTTTTTTTTAAAAAAAAAAAACAAACCCACAACTTTTTTTTTAAGGACATGGATCTTTGACATTGGATGGGATGCTATGCATTGACTGAATTGTTTTATGGAAAATTTAGTTGTTAAACTTAGCTTTGATTCCTATGCATGTGTTTAACTTCAAGTGCACGACTTAATACTGTGAGTTCTGGTTTAAATGTTGTCATATTTGAAGATTTGAGGGTTTCCTTGTGGTTGGGCTAGCGTGTTGCTCTTGCAGAATGGGAGGTGCAGCGTCCTGTGTTGTAAGAGCCAAAATTCCTTTATTTTGGTATATCCAGTTACTGAGTTGTACTGCTTTGAAAAATGCTGAAGAACGAGTGCAGAGATCCCACATCAGTTATAAGAATCTTAAGAGGTTTTTTCCAATATACTTTCAAAGCAATAAGTTAAGCTCTTGCAGGTCTCACTATATAGTGTATCAGTTAATAATAATTATATTAAGTTCTAAAGGCTTAATGTATTTTCTAAAACTGTAAAACATGAGAAGCTAATACTGTAGATCTTGTTTCAGAGGGAGCGTAGGAGCACCACTGAATAGAAGGTATTTATCTTGTGTAAGGCTTGTGAGCATAATTTACTATTCATGTCACAAAGCAACAGATGAAATTTTGGTTGTCAGCACATTTAGAATTTTGTGGAAATGCATTCTGTACTTTCTTCATGCACTTGGAATCAATGAGGATGCCCAGGTTATTCTGTATCAAATTGCTAAAATCTTTGTTCATCACCTTTATTGTTATGGAAAGTATGAGGGAAAAGAAACAGGCATAAAATATCTGCCTGTCCCACATCTTCCCTGTAGCTGGTATAATTTTGCAGAATTTTTTCCACATATTTTAATTTCTTTTTCTGAAGGTGGGAAAGACTTGAACAAATGAGGAGAACTAATTATAAAAAGTTCCTTTAAGTTGCTTTACCAAACTTTTAAAGAATGAAATTGGGATATACATTATTGCATCTTTAATTTTTTTTTATTATTTGTGATTCATTATCCACCATTGTTAAGAGTCACTGCTTCAAATGTGAATATATGCTGCCTTCCTGGAAGCAGAGGTTGGAACTCTAGGCAAAAGCTTTCAGATACTATATACGTTAGTGGGAGACTATTCTAGTTTGAAAGTAGTGTCATAGCAGTGGGTGTTAAATTAGATTGTTTATAATTAGTTTGTTAATTATAATTAGTTTGATTTTTTTTTCTTCTTGCCATTTGCCCTTCCACTTGCTGTTCCACAATTAAAATAAACTAAACTAAGACAAAAAGATATTAATTGTGAATTTCCCACTTTTCTTAAGTTTACTTTGTCCAGTCATTTTGACCATGTCTCTAAAGGAAGTGGCATTTTGTTCTGTCATAATATAGTAAAGTGCAGAAAGGTTCTGATCTCTTTAAAGTCTTTGCACCTGATTCAATGGCAAGCAGGTTTTATGTTGCATTAATAAATGCGAAATCAGGTGTATTTTTCCCTATCAGTTTAATTAGAGAAGGTGACACCTTCCACTGTACGTTGGCAGATCCTGTATTGTGTGCAATGTCAACAATATCTGGAATTGTACTGTGAGCCACTGGAAATCTCTTAATCTTTGCCTTAATATGAGTTAGTCTAACAACTTTACTCTCCAAAATCATTTGTTTAACGGGAAAAGAAGATGGTAGGAAAAAAGGGGAAGGGAAGCCTGGGAAATTAGAGCCATTAAATGAGATCCCAAGTTAACACAATTGGTTTCATTTTTATAGGTCTGTGCTTTAATCCTTTATTCCTTTTGCATTCTATCAAAGGGTATTGTTTTTATAAGGGAATTCAGAGTATTTAAATATTTTATGTTTGGTGATGGGACAGTGGATGAAGCTGTTACAATTTTGTCATGAGGCTTGCTGTATTTTGAGAGGTATAAATATGAAACATATTCAAGGAGGTTAAATATTAAAATGAGGCTGAACCAGCTACTTTTTTTCAGAACATCTAAGCATCTTGGTTAGCTTTTTTAATGCCATAATAATTTTTGCAGTAAATGAATTTTTATGCTTAAGTTAGTTTTTAGTCTCTGATTCGCTCAATAAATTGTTCCCCACCCCCCACCCGTGTTTTCTTATTGTTCCCACTCCATAGTACCTGGTTATGGATTACTATGTTGGAGGAGACCTGCTTACGTTGCTCAGCAAGTTTGAGGACAGACTACCTGAAGATATGGCTCGTTTTTATTTGGCTGAAATGGTGATAGCTATTGATTCAGTTCATCAGTTGCATTATGTTCACAGGTGAGTAATTTGAGCTCCAAATTCCTGTTGGAATTATGGGGAATTACTTGATGGAGTGAAAATAATTCCCGTTAAAGAGTTTAAGCTAGTAACAAGTATTTGCTGTAATAGTAAGCATGATAGAACTGACCTGCCTACATCTTGTGATGATTGAGAACTGTTGCTAACCTTGTACCATATGGTCAGAGACGTGAATGAGTATCTGAATGCATGTGATAAATCTTGCACGCTGGCATGTTTCCAAGTTAATGATCCGTAATTTATAAAAGCAAACCTGGAAACCTGTTTGTGAAATATGATCAACTTTGAACAGGTTTATTGAAGGGCCAGATTCTGTTTCTTAATTAATTTGTTCAATGTACACCGAAGTTAAAAACACAGCGTTGTGTGGTCTGCTTTAGATTTTTTTCACCATTTTCTTTTGGACTTAATGAAATTATCTTTAAAATGAAGTGAGGGCATTTTGCTAAATAAATGGAAGTACTTAAATTGTGGTACTTATCTTTACCTTGGTATATACAAAAATAACATATTCTCTTGAAAGGAAAATATTAAGTCGTTTGTGTCTAGCTTTTTTGGAGGCCACGACTGATTTTTCCACAAAGCTAAAGTCATCTTTTCTTTAATGTATCATTCTCTACTGAATTCCATGGTAGTTCTTGTATGCAGAGCAAAAGATTACCTTACGAGAGACAGAATTTTCAAATGCACTCAATACATATACATTGCTCTGACAGAAATCAGGAAGAAAACTCCCAATTGTTTAAGCTAAATCATTAAGTTGGCAGAATGAGCTCATTTGATACGTCCATTTGTTGCCCTTAATCAGAGTCTATACTGGCCATTCCTTCTTTTACTGTTCCCACTTGGCTGCTTTGCTCCAGAAAAGGTGTTTTTTTTTTTTTGTGCAAAAGGTGTATTGCGGTTGGGTTTGGTTTGTTACTGGGTTGTGTTTTATTTCCTTTGAGATTGTGGCTTTTCATGAAAGAGCTGTAGGTAGGAGTGCTTTAAGGTGGGGCTAAGCTGCAAATTGCTGTTCTGGAATACTTTGGAGTCTGCTAGTTTTGTTGAAGAACTGTGTCTAGATGCTAAAAAGAGCTCTTTGTGATAATGCTTTGTGGGAAGATGCAAGCAGAGTATTTTCCTTAAGCAGTTTTCTTGAATTTTGAAGATTTCAACTGTGTTAGTTCTGAGAAACTTTGTTCACTTAGGACCTGATGTGAAAGGTTTTTGTATTTAGTTTAATTTGGATCTAACTTTTAAAATGCGTTTGTGGATGCTATCTCCTGTTACCAGGTGGAGGGTACTTCATGTACTACGTGAACTGCTGTATTTTACGCAATAAGTCTGCATATGTGGTAGTAACTCTTCCCAGAAGAACAGATGCCTACCATCTCTACCTTTTCCTCCAGACAGATCAAAACCTTTGTAATTCAGCACTGTTAGTATGTAATACGCAGCAGATGTGATGTTTCCATCCTCAAATAGTTAGTGTCCCCAAGATGAAATAGGTGTTGATGTAAAATTTTGATGGAAAATGCAGTACCATTGCAGTTCAAAACAACATGCTAATTATTATGCTTGCACATTTATTACTATGAATGTTTAACATAAAAAAAGCCCCTATACATTCCCAGTCCTTTGTTGTTTGATTTGTGGCTTTGCCAGTGAGGTTCCTATGTTTATAAAAGTTCTAAATGCCACTTCGGCATTTTATCATTAATACTGCTGTAATACAATGCCTGTTTATAAGGAGATGTTTTGCAAAGATTAAAAATGCACTTGAGTGTATGTTAAATGATCAGCCTTTGAAATGAGACCCATTCCGCTGTTAGTTTTATTAGGATGTTTGCAACTGGTAAAGCAAAAGAAAGGAAAAGAAAATACATCATTTAAATGCCACTAATGCGCTTTTCCTGAAAGTTTAATTGTGGTGGCCACATCCTTTTTGGGAGTGTGTTGCACACAGGAAAGAACATAGGAGAAGAAGGAGGAAAATACTACTAAAAGATGGGTAATGTAACAGCTGTAGTAGCAGTATTTCAGATGAATAGCCAATATGCATCAGCATTTGATCTGAGTTGTGGCTAGTGAACTAGAAATCATGCTTTAGGCATGTTTCAGTCCAGGTTTTTTTCATACAATGAGATAGCAGATTGTTTTGGATTGTTTCCTTTTAGTGCCCCAGTTCTACCAAATACTACTAAAAGATGGGTAATGTAACAGCTGTAGTAGCAGTATTTCAGATGAATAGCCAATATGCATCAGCATTTGATCTGAGTTGTGGCTAGTGAACTAGAAATCATGCTTTAGGCATGTTTCAGTCCAGGTTTTTTTCATACAATGAGATAGCAGATTGTTTTGGATTGTTTCCTTTTAGTGCCCCAGTTCTTTCAGGGTAGATTTTCACATTAACCATACATAGTGTTGTATTTGGATGATAATTTTCTTCTTCTCTGAATGTTTTTGTACCTTTTAAAAATTGTATTTCTGTTTTTATTCTCAGTGTGCCACTCCTCTTGCCCTTTTGTATCATTAATCACTTTTCTGTTGTCAGTTTTGTTTGGGAGTGATACTGATTGCAGTGGTAGTTGGTGTGCAGACCACTCCAATGTCAAATGCAAGTCACTTTTCTTTCCTAAAGTACATTGGCCAAGGTTCTCAAACATCAAGTACAAGCAAACTCAGCATTACTTAAATGAAATTGCTACGACTGTGTTTCAGGTTTTGGAGTTCCAAATTTGAATGCCATTTCTGCACTAGCATTGTGGGATTACGGGATGAATTTGTAGTGGGAGGGAGATCAAACCCTAGGTATTAGTAGAATTGTGCAAAGAAATTGCATGATGTTTTTGAAGCTGTCTCCTGATACTTACTGAACTGAAGAAGGAGAAAAGTTGCTAGCTGAAAATAACATGAGTACTACTGTGTTTAGGATATTCTTAATTTTTTTTCCTGTTTTTATCCACTTTTCAGTTTAAATAAATACGTGATAGAATTTTTTTGAGATCACATCAATCAGAACATAAAACTTTGATAATTTTTAATTTCTGATCAATTAATTTCTGTGAACAAATCGTGGTATTTTACCTGATAGTTAAATGATGGCTCAGAATGTTAATAAAACGGCCTTTTCTTTAATGTGTATCTTAGCTTTTGCTATTGTTATAAATGCACCAGCGCTGGCATTACCACATAACATTGACAGCTCCAAGACTAGCTTTAGAAAGAAAACTTCATCTAAGTTAAGTATATGTGCAGGTGCTCACAATGGGGAAGAAAGTATATATGTGTATATCTCACAAATGCACGAATTCCTTGGGAGTTCATGTAAAGCTTATACTTACCCCTGATACCTTAGATTACTAATTTGTACTAATGAAGTGATGCTTGCTTGTAGGCCAAGGTTAAATATTGTCTTGTGCCAGTTTTCTGCAAACTGTAGTGTCATACAGGGTAAGATTTTACATTTATTAGGAATCAGCATCGATTTGTTTTTTATAGATTTGTAGCACCTTTTTTTGGTTTTTGGCTACGTGCATTAATATTAATTTCAGTTTCAAAGTTGTGTTGTTACTTAATTCCTCATGGTACATGTTAAAAGCTTATACTTGCATGCATTATCAAATATCCAAGTGTGGGCTGGAATAAAACTAATGGGCTTAACCTAGGTAGCTACACTTTATTTATTAGGCATGTTGCGTTACCTCAAACATGTAAAATTTGTTTTTCCTACAACTGAGATTTTAATTCCTTAATAATTTTATTGGTTAGCCAGGTTTTCTCTCCATTTATGTAAGGTGGAAATTGAGGTGTAAAATGCTTGGTTTTGTCTAAATCCTTTTAAGTAAAAATGACTTTAGAAGGCCTGGTTGCCACTGGAAGAAATTTCCTCTGGACGTTGCAGAAGATACCCTCTGGGCACGTACTAGTCCTAGGCACAGTGAGTGTGCCACTGGTGGCTTTGCATGCCCCTTCAGTGTGTCTGTGCTGCTGCCTTTCATGCTGTTTTCCGAGACAGCCCTTGCTTTACTAAGGGTGCATCTAAGTCTGTCTCTGTCCTAAATTTCATTTGGGGCATTCTAGCTTCTCGAATAGTACAGAATTATAAGTGTTAATGTGGTTAAGTAATTTTCATCTTGACTTTCTTTCCTCCATCTATTTGTTCTGTGCAGGGTTGCACAGTGATTCAGTGCGGAGGGAATTTGCAGCTAGGGAGTGTTCAGCGTTTAGGCTCATGATCCTCCAGACCACTGCAAAAATATTCATTTAAAATAGTTTTCATATATTGGCACACACCCACGTTAAACAGTCGTCTTTTTCTGTTGAATGGTAAAACAATCCTCACTTACCTTCTTACTAAGAAAATATTTTGGAAGGATTATGAAACACCTATGTTAATTATTATTTTGGTTAAGTTTATGGGAGGATAGTTAAGACTATAGGACAAGCTCTCAAGTTACATACATTACATAGATGTCATGTTTTGCATGTGAAAAGATAGGCATGCAAAGCATAAACACACCTACTTCCATAAGGTATGCAAGATTACAGTTAGCTTGATCAGTGTGTTTCTGGATTTCTAGTTGCCGCTGTCTTTTAGTCTGAAGGATCTTAGCATTCTAAACTACCAGATGCATTTTTTTTCCTTCTCTTTCCGTTTTCTTTATCAACTTCTGAAATTTAAGTTGGGCTTCACTGAAACATTTGAGTTCTTAAAATGTAGAGCAGCAGAATTCTCTATGGAAGTGACATCCTTTCTGAGAAATATTGAACGTAAGGGAATAAATGCATTAGAGGGATAAAAGAACTGTCTATTCCCTGTCAAGCCAGCCTCTTCTTTGCTTTTAACAAGAAGGTACTATTTGTTCTCAGTAAAACTCATCTTAGGGACATCCCTGAAATATTTACTGTAGTTAGCAGGCAGCTGAAATCTGGGATTCTTAGTAGGATGCATTTCACTTTCAACTATAAGTTTCAGTGCCAGCATCTCCATTTTT